GAGAAAGTAACTCCAGCAACAAAAGATACAATTGCACATTTTCCAAATAAAGTGGGGGGTAGAGGTGCGATGGTGGAGCAGGGCTGGGCAGCATGTTGCATAAATCCCTCTGGAATCTGTGGAAAACTAATACAGTTTATTACATTTTCTTATTTTCAGTTAAATCTCTCAGAGATGATGATTATTTAACTGCTGATGGAATAACTGTATGTCTGACACATTCCACATTATTGTTCTTCTCCCAAACTAAATTATGGCAAGTATGATTCTGATTCTGTAGTTTGGTTATGGTTGGTGCATTTAATTGATCTGTGCATCATATTCCTAGCTACCTACTTGGATAAAGTAAACTAATGACACAAATGATGTGGTTAACAATACCACGAATAGGCATTTCATTATGTCCATTTTCATTATGATTATTGTTATCTTTAGTTAAGTTATAAAATGTCTCATAATAGGCCAACAGGATCAGCATGTGTGTGTGCAAACCTGTAGAGAAAAACACTATAAAATCAGGGAAAGAGGCCTTTGTGGTATTTCAGGGAATTAAAGGAGAAGCCCAATTTTAATGGAGCTGCTTAGACAACAAAGCATGATAATTACTTTAAAGAATCTAAGAAAGCAGCTATTACAGGAGGCACTAGGTTATTGATGAGTGGAAATGCCTGCTGTATTTCCTCCTAATCATGATTAGGATATGCTGACTACATCCACCAGATATCCACTGATATTATCCATCCCATTAAAGCATGTATGTTCAGCAGTGATGAGAGGATTTTTTGGCATTAAAGGTTTTCTTCCAGTTCACTGGCTCATTTTTCACTCTACTACACATGTTCTTCAACAACTAATAAAAATATCGCTTTGGGCCATTTTGCAAAATTACATCCATCTCTACATCCCTACAAACACAAAAATGTAACTCCAGTCCGCCAAAAAATCCCATTAATGCAGTCAGTCCTTCATGCCAGTTCGTTTTAGTTTAGACCATATGATTAATGGTAAACTGAAACCTCACCATATTGTTATGAAGGCTGCTGTGTGGACAAATAATGGCACCAGATGATTATGTATGTAAAAAGAAGAGTTATCAAGCTTTACGGTGGAGGAGGAGAAAGGGGTAGCAGAGGAAGATGGAGATGTATTCAATGAGTAAGAAAGCTCTCAAATAACTTTAGAGTCCAATCGACCATATCATCAATCAAGGTTTTACTGTGTGCATGGCTGAGGAGAGAGCCACTCTAATGTGATCACATCAACAGGTGGCTTCCATTATTCATAAGTTCAGTACAGATACTGTGTTGGTAGCACATTTTGAAGTGCACATCTTTGTGGAAAAAGCTTGCTTAATGTTTCTTATTTACGATAAGGAAGTGTAGGACAGGAAGTGCACTTCACTGGACACCCATAACAAATGTGATGATTCTCCCCCATTGATTCTGCAGAGGAGAAACACAAATACATCCAGGTATTCATGTCAGACCAAAACACTACATTAATATACTACATACTATTCACTCTTAATGAAAATAACATCAATCATAAAAAATGCTGATCATCTGTACTCGATAATGTATTGAATAAAGGAGGATCTTCTATAAAGCCAAAACCTTCTTCTCTCTCTCTCTGTAGATTCCAAACAAACAAACATACAAAAATGAAACAAACACTGTGCAGAGTCTGGCAAAGGGAATTCCTAAATGGGTAAAACCTAAAACTTTCTGAAGGTAGTCATGTTCAATCTGTAAAGAAATAATTAAGAATGTGCTCTGACATTATTAAATGACATTGAATTAGAATGAAAGTGAAATGACCCCATTTGACAATTAGCTGTTAGATGGCTCATATAGAGAATCTATTGGTCTCAAAGAAAGACTAATGTCTCTGGGTGCAGGCTGCCAGTCCCATTTACAGAAATGGCCTTTCGGTTGGCCCTTTTGTTTTTTTTATTGAATTCGCTACATGAAGCCAGTGACCAGCACAAGGAAGTCAAGGAGAGCTGGCCTGTTGGTTCAGTAAATGGAGAGAGAAAGTAATGCAGAGTATTGCTGCAGTGGATAAATTGCTTTATAGTGCAGCATCTGCTCAGCAGGACAGAATTAGTCTATCAAGTAACATAAGATAAAGCATGTTAAATATCCAGTCAGATAATGCATGGTCCAGGCTACTAACTACAACAGAACACCAGAAAGCATCTCAGTGGAGAGATTATTACTCTATTGGCTTGCATGTGTTGAAGGAGAGGGAGAGTTGTTTGAATCTTATTCAAAAAGCTTGTTTTGTCTCATTTTTGTGTGATAAGACTGCATTTATAGCCACCTGGTTGTTCAAATCACTTCTGTCCAATCAGAGTTACAGCTAGAATTCCCTAGAGAGAACTGCTGCCGCAGCCGGGAAACATACAGTATAATCCCACTGATAAAATATTTGATTATCAATGTATACATGACTACACTTTTATTCTCTCTATACTTTTATGGTCACAGCAGAATGAAACATTCAGTCACCCACGTTTATGCTTAATGCAGTCACACCTGAGATAATCTGTTGAATCAGCCATGTTAGTTGACTGTAGTGCTGCATTCTCCTCATTAACAACAATAAAAAATGACAATAAATGTGTGAGAACAACAATTTACACGCCCACAGTTAACTATCCCAACCCTCTGTCTTGTTGGCCTCAACCTTATGTCTTTTGTCCCTTTACCCTGCTGTTCTCTCGGTTTCCTTTTTGTCCATGTGTAACTACTGCCCCCCAGTGGCCAAAGTCACTCACTGCCTCCATAGCTGCACAGCAGCAAAGGCACGCTTTTGATAAAATACAGGGTTTCAATTAGACAAAAAAATCTTCCTTCTCTCTTAGTGCTCAGAAATGACTTAACACAGCAACAAGGTCTCAGCAAGATTTCCTCCTTAAAGTCCCCCTTTCACTCAAAGATGTGTTTTGTTACTTGGGGTAGGAGACATCTTGTATAGTTAAACTTCTGAATCAAACACTATTTGCATATTTAAATATTCAGTTTTTTTAATGAGGGCAAAGGACTAGATATAATTTTAAGAAGGACACATAATATTATGATTTCACATGTTAAAAACACAAAGGGGATCTTTTAATGAGTCAAAGTCATGTTATTGTTAATGGCAATGAAGTTGTGATGTCCTCTGCTGGTGTCTTAAGGATAAGTCACCATCCACCTTCTGATTTATCAGAGCACTCTGCCTTTTTTGATGTAATATTTTTTTTTTTTTACCTGTCCTGCCCGGCAGCCTGGTATGAGTATGAGGAGCTGGATACCGTATTGTGCCAGACAGATTTTACTATAACAAGAGAGTATTAATATATTCCTTTGTCTGTATTGTTATTAATTCAAATTTATTTGTCGCCAGGCCAGACAGGGGACAGACATGGGGATGGGGAATAGAAACACCACATAAACACACAGCACAGAGAGAGGGCAACACCTGCAAGAGAGCGGTGATGGGGGGCTTGGTGGGGAGAAAAACAAACAACAAACAAACAAACAAAAAAACACAAACAAAGAGACATCCAGCTGAACAGCAGCAATAAACAGCTGACATAGGAAGACAATTGAGAGAGAAATGAAAATGAGAAAAAATCAGGCAACATAAATAAACAACACAGCACCGCCGTGAGAGCTGAAGCAAGTGATGCCCCACAATCACAGCCCTCCGAACCGCAGATTGACCTCTCCCCGGGCCGCACCCAGACACCCCCACCCCCAGTAGCCAGGGAACCCCGCGACCCCCAAAGCGCAAAGGACCCCAGACCACATGTCCCGGGGAGAGCTGCGCACCGCCCCGAGGGAGAACAGCAGAGAGCCGTGCCGGAGAGCTCCCTGCTGCCAGCAATAACGCTGGAAAACCAGGCCCCCAATTTGGGCCCCATCCCAGCCGAAGGCATCCCCCCCGCCAGAGTGCAGGCAGAGCCAGCAGCCCCTGAGCTCCGTGAACCCGAGGCAACCACCCCCAAGGAAGAGGGCCAAAACCCACCCCGACAACACTGGCCATGCGCCCCAGGGATTCCCGATTGCCCCCACTGTGAGAGAGGCGGCAGGGGGAAGCAGCGGGAGAACCACCCCTGCCGAAGAGGGCCCCGGCTCGGAGAGGAGACCACGGGCCCCCGGGTCCAGAGCGGGCCAGGCAAGGCGGACACCAACCCCACGGCACCCCCGATGCCCCAGGGCTCCAGGGGCAGGACACGAGGCCAATGAGACCCCCCCTATTCCTTCAACCCCACGCCTGCCTCCGTAAATGTATTGTATGGATGCATGTTATGGATTGTGAAGTGTTGTATGGTGGAGTAAAGATATGGTGCGGGGTAACTAAAGTGCAGTTAAAATTGGAGGGTAGTTGTGACACAGGCACCCCATAACTGTTGAGATGAACAGCTACCTTTTTAATGCATTAGATTGATTATTAGTAAAATTATGCACATTACCCTTTAAACCATAAGCATTCGCTTGTTTGTCTTCTATTTTTTTTCTTTCAAATGTTGCCTTTCTGCTTTAACAGCCCTTTATCTATTAAATATCACACCATCCTTTAATGCACCTTTAATGCGCATCTTTAGCCCCTCACAGAGAGACCACCTCTTCCTCCTGCCTATCAGCATTAATTATCATCAGTAGCAGAACTGTCATTATCAGTGTGTCCTGAAGTGGATTTCATACAATGCTCCCCTTCTTTCCTTAAGCTGTGAATACCTCTGAAGGCACTGTCTTCTCCATTTTCTTCCTATCTATTGTCACTTCTGTGCCAGTTCAAATGTGTAATGTAGCTATGTCCCACATAGTTTGTATTACTTCACCACACAATAAAAAAATGAAAATAACTCTTTCTTTCTATCTAATTAACCAATTGTCTTTTTTTTATTTTATTCTACTTCTACAGTGTAAATTTGTAAACTTTTTAAAGACTCAACAGGGGAAAAAAAGTGTGATTCTAGAAGGGTGTCCTTGTTGGATTCTGCGACAGGAAGACAACTTCCTCTGCAACAGCCACAACCCGACTGAGAACACACATAGGCTGCCTGCTGAGTGCATCATGGAAAGAGCCGTCGTGGTGTCGGCCCGCAGGACTCCCTCAGTACCAGAATGCAACATCTCTACCTCCACCTTGGCCTTCGATCAGCACTTCACAACAAATGCCAAAGGAATACTCCTCCTGGCTGAGATAGTAAGTGTGAATTTGGATTTTAAGATGGTCAGCGTTTGAAGACTGTATCATTTAAACATGCTCAGCAGATTATCACAACAGAGCGGATAACAGGACATTACTATTGGAGCAACAGATACATACATACATTTAATAATCATTGCCAGGAAGTGGCAATCATTTTGATGTTTACGACATACTACAAAAGTATGTTAACAGCTAGTTATGTGAACATGTTCTCACATAGTGATGCAGAAACACACACACACACACACACACACACACTTGAGGCAGCTTGATCTGTGTTTGGGTTATTTCTCGTCTACAGTAGTGCACATATGAAGGTTTTGTGTCAGAAAAAATAAACTCATTAATTACTATATTTTTCTAGAACATGGATCTGAAATTCATTAGTGATATTTTGTGGTATTTCTTAGACTGAATTTAATATATAAAATATATAAAAAAACAGAAGAACTATTTTTCTTTGAAAATAGGATGTTAACCCAAAACACTCCAAGCTAATCAGCTCTTCCTCCTTCCTTTCCCGCATTGTGTCTCTTCCTTTCCAAAATCAACTGAGGGAAAAAGTCAGGAAATACAGTCTGGCTGGCTGCCATGCAGAAGCTGGCAGGCCAGGGGTGGATAATCTGATCTGAACAAGATATACAAAAGTATAATCTAATTGCACACAAACTCTAAAGCTGGTTATTTTGACAATTATATAACAATTTTGGAACCAAACTATGTACTGTATCAGCATAACTTAAAATCATAGATACACAGATGCTAATAAAACCATGAAAATACATTTAATCGCAAATTCTGGTTAATTCAAACAAATAAATTCAGTAAGTTGTTAGATTTTGATGTTAAAAAGATAACCTTAAGTAATAAGTTATTTCATTTAAAAAAGAAACTAGCCCTGCCATGTTTCACACCAGAAAACGCAATCTTACTGTGAAAAAAAAAACATCCAGCAGAATTCTTTTGTTGTAAAACAGGAAGGGTGGTTTGGGAGGAAAGAGATTTAGATACTCACAGCGGCGATTTAGTGGAGACTGGGCATGTCGGGTGTTTAGAACTTGGAAAGTAGTAGCACTACCTTTAATTATGTGTTTTATTGTTTGTTTGTTTGTTTATGTTATATTTCACAATGTTGCACTTTAAAATAGATCTCCTTTTCATGACTTAAAAAGATTAATCTAGTGTAATCAATGAGGATTTGAAGCCTTGACCTCTATTTATTCTGCAGTATTTCATAGAGAAAACCAACCAAGTATTTTCTTCACTCAATGTAGATATAAATAATGTGCTCCTCTCCTCTCCTCTCCTCTTCTTTCCTGTCCTCCAGGTGTGTGGTATGTTAGTGTGGATTCTGGTTGGGGGTACAGAGTATTTTCATGTGCCTGCTCTCTGCTGGGTGATGTTTGTTTCCATCTTGTGCTGGGTGCTGACCATTTGCCTGTTTATTATTTATCTCACTGGAGCCCACAGCAGAATACCACAGGTCCCTTGGACTACACTGGTAACACACACACACACACACACTCACCCCCCCAACACACACAGCACATAATGCATTCCCTAGCCCTTTACCCTCACCATCACAACTAAGTGCCACACCCTAACCCAATTCTAAGCCTAACCCTAAAACCAAGTCTTAACAATTGAACGTGTAGCATTTTGGTCCCCACAAAGTTGTCGGACCTCACGAGTTGCCTTCCGATTTTAGGACCCCTCAGATATAGTACAGTTTTTCACTATTGCTAAGACACATTTCTTGAACCCTTCACCCATATTCTCAAAACTTTAAACACAAAACCCAAACTAAACTACATTCACAAGAACAAAGACAAACACAGAACAAAGAAAACTATAAATTAAAAGTACATTACACTCAAAAATGTTGTGCAACAAAATTCCAACGACCACCCAGAAAAGTAAGAAGACGTTCAGTGTTATATGGCCCCAAGGTTGAATGAGGGTAGAGAATCTGTCCCTTACTTATAACTTGGTCAATGTGTGACATTGCCACTATGCTGGCCAGGGATTTGACCACATTTTGGTTTGATCACAGCATTAGAAACAAGTGTGCAAAATGTGTTTTAGTGCGTTAGAATGTGTTCAGAGTTTTGCAAAAATAGTGGATGAGATTTGCAAACAGTGTCCTCACTCTACCTGAACCTGTTAAGAGTGACTAATTTGACAAATGGGTTTAGGCCATTGAGCATTTTGTTCAGAGAATGGGGTTTAGTGTTTTAGCAGTTGTGAAAAACTGTAAAACAACCTGTCTGGTTCACTCCTTTTGTTAAAATGTGTTTTCTGCTTTGAGTTGAACAGAGTGGTTAGACTGCTTTGGTTTTTTTTTTTCTGCAATTCACTGTTTGTGTCTTTCTTTCTTCTAGTCGCTGTGTTTGAACTGTGGTGCTACGGCTCTGTACCTGGTGACGGCAGTGGTGGATGCTCACACAGTCAACCAGGCCATTAGGGGGCGACACAACTACAACTGCTGGGCAGCATCTGCAGTAAGAGAACTCCTGTCTATGATATGACCTGTTGAGGGAAAAGTTCATCAAGAAAGAAAGTTTTTGTTATTATCTCTGTATATCAGAAACATCACTGAAGCTTATGTGTCAACATTACACACAACAATACAACAAAAACAACTGAAGTAAGGCTTCTTCCATGAATTTTCAAATATATATATAAACTACATGTGCAGTGTAATCTAGAATTTGTGCAAAAAGTAATTCCACTGTGCAAAATCAGATTTTGTCTTTAGAACTATTGTTTTTAGGAATAATGACCTGAAGGGTAGCTCACAAACAAATACACAGGGGTTATATTTTTAGACTCAATAAACTTAAACTTGAAGGGGCACTTCAGTGAGTTAGTATTGCACTTTCATCAAGACCTTGCATTAAAAAAAGGTTTTAAAAAAGTGAGGCTAAGATATGTTAACTTTAATCTCTAGTGAGGGTATATCTTCAAAAACACTACATTTCCAAAATGCAACAGGATGGGCATCTTAAATAGATTTCACTGATCATGACGTCACCAGGCTTATCTTTCAAACTTTAAGAAAGCTTTCAGAGACACAGAAAACATTATGGAACTGTAAATGTAACAGACAGAACAATACTCCTCAAGATAAGTAGATTGAACTTTGTGTGTAGAATTGGTGAAATGGCCCTGTTAGTGTTTTTACAGATACAAACGTATTTTCTTTATTATGGTTAGTATTTCTCCACCAGAAATATATATTCCTGGCAGTGTGGAGAGAGTTTCGAAACAGCCTTTAAACAATCATGAGTACAAAACTTTTATATATAACAGATAGCACAGTTAAATGAATAAAGAAAATTAAAACATTTATTCATTTAGCGGACGCTTTTATTCAAAACAACTTAGAATTGTCATATGTCAGAGAAGTGTCTTACTTAGAGACACATTGGTGTGTCACTGTGGGAAATTGAACCCGGGTCTCACACCAAAGGCATGTGTCTTATCCACTGTACTATCACCACCACTACAAAGCAATCAAAAAATGTTACCAACTTCTTTTGTTGGTGATAAATTTTACAATTTATCTGCTGATAAAGAACCTGTCTGACACCAGTGCTTTTATTTCCCCAAATTGTAAATTTGTCTACCTCACAGGAATCACTTTTATGTGACGTACCTCGAGACCAGGGACTGCTGTGGGATTAAAACCTGAGATGATATCCTGTTGCGATGGAATTTTATAACAATATTGACAAAGTATTCAATGCCAATTGGTCTCCTCATAGCCGACACTGCACTGCAATTATTAAAGAAACAAAGTAAAAACTAAACAAATCAAATAGTCAATCAATAACTAATGGAGAATTACAACAACTGATACCAAATGTCACAGTCTCAATAACTTCCAAATGTGATGCTACAAGAACATTAGCCACTCAGATTTAAAGTAAAACATCATTACATGACACTTTAAGTGTCTGTCATGATAACAAGAGGTAGCTGTGTACCACTTGGATAATAGCAATGGACTTCTAGTTTCAGGGTTGAGTGCTTTGACTTGGAGTGGATAATGATTAAACTACACTTATATTAAAATTGAACTCCTTCCCATTGTTTCCCTGTCCCTCTCTGTTCTCCCATATTCTTTTTTTCGTCATCTTTCACGCTTCTCAGTTCTTTGCATTTCTGACCACACTATGCTACGCAGGAAGCGGCTGCCTGAGCTACCGTGCGTGGAAGACCACAGAAGAAGGACAATAATCATGTTGCTTGTTCAGATTGTTCTCTGAGGAGCATGTCTGATGGAGATCTCACTTCAGACGATAGGCTTCAGTCAAATAAAATGCTTGTATAAACTGTAAATATGGTCATGAAAAGATGGTATTTTTAGTTGGAGTGATAAAGACAGGATTTGAAGGCGGGCTATGCAATTCTAATGAAATACATGTATTTTTGTAAAATTCAGCGAACATCCCCTCAAGGTCTGCTATTAGAAGTCATCAAAATTAAGTTTTAAGATAAAATTACTGCATAATGTTGCTGTAAATGTCAGATGAGCCTAAGCACAATAATCTACAGCAATTCGTAGTGAAAATCTTGTTCATTTAGCTAAGTCATCGGTCATAGCAGAGCACTTGGCTGCAACCAGCAAAGATGTTTAATTTAAATGAACGATAAAAGGTGATTGGTATTCTGCTTCACTCACTGTGACCTGCCATACTTCACCTCCCTAGCAGATACTCTCATTGAGCTTCTGAGGATGATCTGCGTGCACAGCTGTTCATCCATTACAGTAATGAGCCATGCAGTGGGCCTTTCTCAATCTGTGTTCTTGTCTGTACTTGTGTTCTTGTGAACCTTAAGCTTTTGTGGCCCAAGTACTGTCCCAATACACAAGTCTGCATTTTGGAAAGAACGGTTAAAAATCCCGGAAGTGTTCTTGACACGCCCATACCGAGGATGCATCGGTTGGTAACTTGAACTTGACGGCAGAGATATCCCAAACAATGGACTGAAAGCAGATGAGAGAGGCCAACAACAGAACGTTTTGTACTGTTTTCGGACGTTATTTCATCACTAAATCCACTTCTGGGAAGGTTTGAGGCCAGAAATCAACTGTGTAGATGTCGAATATTGGCAATTTAATAAAATGATGGCGAATCTAAAATGTGCTCAAACATTTTCGGAGTTGTGACGCTCTGCAACCGTCAGCGGGGGGAGCTAGCGAGCCGTCAACTCGGGTGTGACGTCATTCCCACCTCCGACCGAGGTAAATGGAACGCAGCATTATATCCACGCGTTCGGGGGATCGAGCTGAATCTCGTGGTATAGGCCACGCCCATTTCCGCCTAACTTTTTTTTCTCTCGATACATTGCGAAAACTGAAACACCTATTTTTATTAACTTCTCCGAAGCCGCAAGTCTGATCGGCACCAAACTTGGCACTGATAATCTCTGGACCAAGCTGATGAAAGTTTGTAAAGGAAATTTTGATCCGACTAAAAATGTCGCAATTATAGCAATTATTAAATGCTAAAAACAGGAAATGACATCATGTCTTCGTTTTGGAATGGCAGACCGACACCAAATTTGGAGCATTAATGTGGGACGCCCCCCTGAGGGCCTGTGCAACATTTGGTGCAACTCGCCCCTAGGTGGCGCAATTTCATTCAAAAAAATTGTTCCTCTGTCACCACAAGTCACATTGACATGAATCCAGAGCCAAATTGTTCAGCATGGTCCCCTTACTACAGGCACCAAAGTTCACCCAAATATGCCCATAGGTGGCGCTGTTATTGCAGATTAAAGACGTAAAAATAAAGTCCCATTGATTTACATGCATTTTATATCTCCATAACCACAAGTCTGATTCATACCAAATTTGGGGCAATTGTTCCCCATGGGGCCCTGATGAAACCTCAAAAATTTAGTGCAATTTGGCCAAAAGGTGGCGCTATAATCGATCCCATTAATTTCAATGGGATTTTGAACCAAAGGACATTTTTCTTTATAACTACGCGCCACTACATCGCACATTTATAAACCTTACTATTACGTGTTTTGGGAATGCTACCGATTCCGATGGTATAGGATACACCTCTGTGCCATGACGTTTTCATTTCGATCGGGAAAACTGGAAAACTTATTTTAATTAACCCCTCCGAAGCCGCAAGTTCGATCGCCACGAAACTTGGCAAAGACCATCTCTAGACCAAGCCCAAGAAAGTTTGTAGAGGGAATTTTGATCCGCCAAAAAACGGCCGTATTACAGGCCAACTAATTTTAGCGCAAACGCTAAAAACATGATGTCCTGTCACATCTAACGTTTGCAATGGCTGATCTACACCAAACTTTGTGAAATTTTGCGTCAATCGGCCTCTAGGTGGCGCTATTAATTGGAAATCAAATAACACTCCCATAGACATACACTCATTTCACAACTCCATAACCGCAAGCCCCTTTCATTTATAACTCTGCTCATTTATTCTCCACAGATCCCCCGAGCCGCAGCGGGGTGCCCGGTGAATTTGCTATGTGCTTCGTATGCTGCACAAAGGTGTTAACCATCATTGCATCCCCTTTGTGGTGCTGCATAGCACTTGGCGCTACAACTATAACTGAATATTAGCATGTAGATGTGTTTGGGGCAGGACTGTAATCAAGCACGTAAAGTCTGGTGCATATGTCAACATGTACACTAATTACAACAACGTCCTCTTTCATGGCGAATCATCAATTTTGGACGCCACACCACAAAGACGCTGTTCCACGAAAACTCACCGTTTGTGCAACTTTTAATCGTCAACGGGTTTAGAGTAGATAGCAACAATTTGAAGTCGGCCGGACTTAATCCCTAGGAGGAGTTCGTTAAAGTACGGGGGCCAGTAAATCATCCAAAAATGAAATCCAAAACCATAAAATTCATAATGGCCGACTTCCTGTTGGGTTTAGGGCATTGCACCAAGAGGCTTTTTGGTACGTCGGGACATGATGTACATCAGCATATACATGTGTTCAGGGCGGGATTCTTATTAAACGTGTAAAATTTCATAAAGATCTGAGCATGTACAGTCAAGTTACAACAACTTCCTGTGTCACAGTGAAGCGTGGAGCTTCGCCGCCATGCCACCGCTACGCCACTGCAACACCGTTAACCGAAAACTCACAAGTTTTACATCATGGCTTCATCAATGTGTTAAGGGTTTTCTGGGACAGTTTTGAAGATGATATCCAGTCTGGTAGGAGTACATTACAGCGTAAATCGTGTCATTTCCTGTTGCCAGCAGGTGGCGCTATGACATTGAGTCAATATTGGCATATGGATGTGTTCAGGGTGTGACTCTTAATATACATATCAAATTTGGTCCAGATGTCAGCATGTATACTGAAGTTATAACAACTTCAAAATTGAGGTTACTTTGCAGAAAAAAGAAGAATAATCCCTTCAGTTTCAATAGGGACCTTGCACGGTTCGTTCTTGGGCCCCAACTATAAATGAAAAGCACATTACACTCAAAACTGTTGTGTGTGCAACTGCAAAAGCAACGTCAATACAGTAAGAGACTTCTTACACATCACATGCAACCTTGTCCCTTGCCAAGCAAAGGAGGAAAACCCTCGGAAGTGCTGGATCCAGCCTGTTTCTAACAACACGTCTCACCACAGGCCAATTTCATTGGGTAAGAGATGAGTTTCGGCCATAGACATTCCACCATCAGGCAATCATTTATGAATCATTGGTTGCTCATTTAGGGTGGTGTGGTGGTGCAGTGGTTAGCACTGTCACCTCACAGCAAGAAGGTCATGGGTTCGTGCCCTGGCCTTTCTGTGTGGAGTTTGCATGTTGTCCGCGTGGGTTCAGAAATCATAATTTGTAGCTAGAAACCTGGGTGTAATGTTTGACTATAACCTTTTTTTTTAAAAATATGTTAAAATTGTTGTTCAATCATGTTTGTACCAGTTAAATGATACAAATGTCTCTGCACATGTAAATACTGTTTCATCTCATGTCGGGCACAGACCTGGCACGTCGCACATATTTGTTGTTGATCTTTGTTGTTATATATTTTTATGTTGTCAGTTTATATATTTATATGTACACAATATATAAGGACATCCGTACTTTTACTTCATCTAGGTTGGATTATTTTAATTCATTGTATTCAAGCCAATTAACTATCTCACAACTTCAGCTTGTACAAAATGCAGCTGCCCGACTTTTAACTAAAACTAGAAGACAAGATTACATCACTCCTGTTTTAACCTCAATTTGCTGGTTACCTGTAAGGTTTAGAATTGATTTTAAGGTTTTACTGATCGCTCTTAAAGCGCTTCATGGTTCTGCTCCCAGCTATATTGCTGACTTGCTGCTCCCCTATGAGCCAGAACGCAGCCTCAGATCATTTGTTATCTGTTCCTAAGAGCTGGCTCAAGACCAAAGGTGACCAGGCTTCTGCAGTAAGGGCCCCTCAGCTCTGACACTCCTTGCCTGAGAACCTGAGGCTTGCAGGTTCAGTGACATCTTTAAAATCACTTCTCAAGACATTTTTTGTACAGCCTACCATTTCTGTCTTGTGATATATGTCAATTTTTACTGTATCACTGTTGTGGAATCTTGTTTCTTTTTATCATTATACAAGTTTATATTGTTTGATTTATTTATTATTTTTATGCCTCTGTCTTGAAATGTTTTTAATTTGTGTTCAACCATGTAAAGCACTTTCTAACTCTGTTTTGATGCGTGCCGTATAAATAAAGTTTATTAATATTATTATTATTACTAAATTCAGCATAATGTTGTAGAGCAGAAACAGGTCACTGACCTCTAATCTGGAATGAATTTGTGCCAGCATTTTGGATGAATGAATTAATTGTGTTAGGCACGTGTATTGTGGGCTAATAAGTGTTCCTAAAACATGTTCAGTGACACACCAGCTAATCTCTGTTGTCTGGTAGAATATTAACAGTATTAATAGTAGAAAACAGTTTAAGTTTATCAGTCTTGCATTCTGCATGTAGAAACATCTGGACTCTTGTCTTGCACAACTTGTAGCATAACAGTTTGGTTTAATTTGATGTCTGAATTGTCATTTCTGCTGAAATATAATGGTGTATCTTCTGTAACTACCACAACCTGCAGTAGCTATATGGTGCATATTCACTTGCAAGCAGGGGTATGTATGTATTTACAGTATATACTACATTCTCCTGACAAAATGCAAAGCTGAAACTCAAGCTAGGACGGAGCGGGTTGAACTTGCATTGCCAGACAATCTGTATAGATCAGCAACGATGAGATCATAATAATAATGTCAAGTGTACTTAGTAGGTTTTACAAAAAAAGACATAAACACTGATGATTTTAAACTGAGAACAAGCACTGCAACCTGAATACATGCCATGTAACCTTTACCACATTCTGAATCATCTTTGTGTGTAGAGCAGAAACAGGTCACTGACCGCTAATATGGAATGAATTCATGCCAGCATAGTGTAAGTGAAGCACATGAGAAGGCAGCAGAGCAGACAGCGCTGGCAGCATACTGACAACATTGACTTGAAAACATATTTAGATTAATGAACTGTGTTAGGCACGTTTATTGTGGGCTAATAAAAGTTCTCCTAAAACCATTTTGTGTCTGATGGGATAAATGACACATTTAAACTACTCTTAGGCTATAATCTAGATTGTGTGTGTCTTTTTGGAATATTCCACAGGAAGAGACCTGGGGAAGGTGCTGGGGATGATTCATTTACTTTCTCAAGCTTTGAGCCCCCTCCTACTTTTTTTCCAAACAAAGTACTAAAAAACACACTCACCCCACTACCACCCAAAGATCTCTTCAGAAACTTTCTTTTTTCTTTCTCACGGTGCCAGATTACTAATGATTAATACGTAGATTATGTGTTTCAAAGACGATATGGTACTTTGGGTGATGTCAGACACCAAACAGCCAAAACTTGTGATGATAAAGTGAATTACAGGAGTTTACTTACCTTGCATTACGCACTTGATTAAAGAGCCAGTCACTGCTGAACATAAACCCTTTTGAAATAAAGCCACACACTGCCACCAAACTATGTAAGGGACACATTTACAGCACCAAGACTCTATGGCAAAGTTAGCGGCTCTGTGAGGCTGTACTAGCAGTGCTTGAGCTAAATGCTAACATGCTCAAAGTGACAATTCTAACATTTAACATTTACATTTATGAATTTAGCTGAAGCTTTTATCCAAAGCAACTTACAATTGCTGTATACGTCACAGGTCGCACACCTGTAAAATAAAGAAACTTTTTTTTTAAACAACGGATGTGTTTTCACACACATTTCTTTGGTTAAACTTTACTTTCATTTTGTATGTGATTTCCCTTGAAACAAGGCCACAGTTTCAGAGAAAGTCCCATTTTGGCTTTTTCAGCATATAAAAACCACTTGTGGTCTTCCTCTCTTTCCCACAATTCATTTAATCATGTACTGTATGTAGGTCAATGGAAACCTTGCTCTCTCAGAAACATCACTGATTAACCCTAACTGACACAGCAGAGTCAGAACTATTACTCCGTCATGAGACCTATACCTGTCCTTTAGTGTCACTAAATGGCATTAATACTGAAATATCTCTGGGAACAAAGTGCTAGGTAAGCAGTTTACCCCGGGTGGGGTTGCAACTGGGTGAAAGACAAGGAAAAGAGAATAAGACATAAAGACAGAGAAAGAATATTGATGCCATGTAAATTCATGTGGGTTTACAATCCTGTCATTTAGATTTTATAGTATGTACTGTATGCCAACGCTTTGTATTGCTAGTGTATTTTCTTGTCCTAACATGTAGCCTACAACAGAAAACACCCTCCCACCCGCAGAGTAGAAAAGCACTGCCTTATTTAGACCAACCACTTTTTGTGAGCTCTGAAATTTGGCATCTCAGCATGCAGGAAAAAAGAACAAAAGAATAAATGCAGTAACCTGGTTTTAAGCACTAGTAAATCCCAACTAGCAGCATAGTTGAAAATGTCTTTGCACAACCTTACAGGGTAACCCTTAGACTCCAGGATAGCTTCAGTTCTCCTTGGAATTAAAAACTAAAGTGATAATTGGACAATGTAGCCTATAATATAACAAGAAAAATAACAAGGAAGAATATCCTGAGTTAATTAGACCGGCTTTTCCTAACTGTATTTCAGATGTCCTACAGTCATGAAGAAAAAGACAGCTAGGTGACTTTATCAATTTTAGTTAAGTACAGGGTTGTACAATATATTTCACATGTAATACTGATGAGCAGTACACTCAAGCTGATATAGGCTACTCTCACCTAAAGCCTTTGTGTGAACTCTGCTGTGCCTGATGATTTGTCAATTGATTGACAAATGACGATGATGTTTTGTTAACATTGAGACACGTAGACTCTCGATGCATGCTTGTGCACCCGGCAGTCGGCAGTTGGCGGCGGGGTTGCTGGTGGGTGCACGTCCTCCGCACGTCCTGTACACACGGCCCTTCTAACGGGATTTGTATTGCCAGGCTGCGTTACCAGATTATTTATGATTAATACGTGGATTCTGTGTTTCGAAAACGATCTGGTAATTTGGTTGACGAAGGACAACAAACAGCCAAATCTTGTGATGAAAAAGCGAATTACGGGAGTTTCAACGGGAGAAACAGAAGTGTGGACAGCTTTGAAAAACCGATGAGGAGAACAAGCATTTACACACTCATAAACAGATAAAATCGAAACATGTCTGTCCCGTTACCCACACGCAGGCACACACATATCCTGGATCTATGCACATGCATACACTTAGTGAGTTTCAGCCATAACCCCTGATTGACTTTTAGATAGTTGAAAATCAATGGCCTAGCATTCTTCAACTTGTGGTTATATTACCATAAAATACCTCATTTATACCTTTATAAGCTTCATTTTAGCTTCACCAAAACAAAATATTAAAAGTAAAGATGGATAGGCCTACTTGATAATGATAAACTGTGATTAGGCTTAGTTTTATAAATATGGTTCACAAAATAGTTTAAAAAATCTAATCGCATCCATTGTGGTTGTTGATTATAATTTATTTTTCTATAATAAGTAATAACAAATATTCTGATTGTTACAAGACATAGTCCTTTTAAGTCGCAGTCATTTTGAAGCTTGATGTTGGTTATGTTGTATCACAGTCATTTGCTTACCATGCTGAGGGGAGGTAGTCAATATTATCTCCTACAGCACAAGATGTATACAACCAGCTGAATGCAATTGTTAATGATTTAGACAAACTGTGTGCTTTCTGTGTGTATTGAGTGATCGTGTGTTCTAGGTGGCCCACTAACCTCTGCATTAAACTGACTCTACTGCAAAAGGCCTGAAGACAGTTTCCACAGTGATAAAGTAAATAAGTTCCACTGTGAGCCTTTAGTATTTAAACATTTGGTCCTTGAGTAATTTTCTACAGTTATAAGTAACAGCTTCATGGATTGCTTTGCACTGCAGGGCTAATTTTATTTGAGTATTATACAAATTGCCAATGTCAGTGTCTTTCTTGTAAATACCCTTGATATTGATCTAAATAAAATGTCACTTAATGTTAAATGTTGGAGGTAAGAGGATAGTCTTGCAACAGCACACAGGGACCCAAGAGGCATGTTAAATATCTATCAAACAAAGCAAAGGCATCTTTGGATTTATCTACCAGTGATAGTCACCCTGGCTATAGATTTGTGAAAAGCCAATATACTCTTTCAGCTTACTTAACAAGACCTAATATGTCATTGTTGTGTGGCTGTGTGCCTGCACGACTGATAACTATGTTTGTGTCCCTGTGTGTGTGTGTGTGTGTGTGTGTGTGTGTGTGTGTGCGCACGCGCGCGCTTGTTTGTGTATCATACCCACAAAACGGAGCATGCTGGTTTCCCATGTCTGGTTGGAAGCGGGCATGGGGCAGAAAGGATTTACAGGACTAGGGGGAGAGGTGACGCAACAACCAACTGCAACAAAAACGTGCTAGGTGAGTGAATTTCAGCACGTGTGCATGTGCTGCATAAACGCGTCATTACATCATTTTACAAGAACGCCATTGCTTCTTGGAAAAGACTGGAAAATAGTTTTCCCAGTTGTTTTCTCAGTCGTGCAAGACAATGTCAGTGCAGATCTCAGAGAGGAGGCGGAGCTTTCAGACAGTTACGCAGATGTGGGGGACAAAGCCACTTGAAAGCATGCTTGCTTGTATGTGACGGCTGATGTTACTGTCAGTTGCATACCCTGCTTAATACATAGCCTAAAACAAGCACATCTGGAAAACTATGTTTTTTTCTTATTGATTTGTGAGAATATCCAAGTTTTTCCAAGTTCCAACGAAAAGTTTATTTGTGGATTTTTTTCTTGGAAGTTACCTCCCTGCCCTAGCTTAACAATAAAAGAAAAAAAATCTACAATTGCCCTAAAATGCTGTTGTACCTTCCTCCATGATTTAAAGATGCAAACATTGTACTATATAGTGACAAACTACAAAATAGGATAGATTGATTATTTAACTTACATTTTAAGGAGAGGGAAGATATGTTTAATGTAACCACTTTAAAAAAAACTGAATCAGATACATCTGCTGTCCTGGAGAGATGGTGCAATGAATAAGACTATGCCTTTAGTGTGAGAGACCCGGGTTCAATCCCTCACTGTGACCCATCCACCAATGTGTCCCTGAGCAAGACACTTAACCCCTAGTTGCTCCAGAGATGTTGACATGTATCAGAATTGTAAATCGCTTTGAATAAAAGCTATGTATGTGTGTGCACATATGTAAGGCTGACACTTGATCCATGCATCAGGTTGCATACATGAGTATGGGCACATGCATGCCTGCACATATGCATCTGTCTGTGTGTTTATCGATCTTGTCTGTGTGTTACCCTGGACACTGTCTCAAATTGATCTCCTCCATCCTTTTCTCTTGTGTAAGAACACCATGACTGTTGTTGCATGTTGACCCCAGAGTGTCCCTATTGCAATCTTCTGTCCTGATATCTGAACATGAACAAACCTGTTTGAGCACTGGACCTGCTATGATTTTGTCATTTTTGCAAAATACATTCCTGTCATTGTAATTAATATAACTTTAAATTGAGATGTTGTACTTGCTCTTGTACTTTTACTTTATATAGCTTAACTTTATATAGATTTTGCCCATCAAACATCATTGATAAAATGTGTGCAAATTAGTATCTACTGAAGTAGAGAGATGACTGTAGAAATTTCTAGTCATAAAAGTTAAGACATTTGGCAATAACACCCTCAAAGCTGCTCTCACAAATAGGATTATTGCTTCAACAGCTCAGCTTGTTCAGAAGATCTGGCCCAGTGAGAAGAAGTATGTTTATTTGTGTTTACACAGTTAATCCTTATGGCTACAGATAGAAGAAACAGACAACTCTGTGATTAGCATTAGTTTAGAGTGATAATAACCAAAACTGGAAACTGATCAAGTCTGAATGGCTGGTGTTGAGCATTGATAATTTGTGAATGGTCAACACTGCAATCCAGGTTTGCTGCATTGATTAAATCTTGATACGAAGGCTTGAGCGTGAGATAATCATGATAGAGTGGAGACGGTTGAGATAAAGGCCTCAAA